GTTGCATATGTAGTATGTGTGCGTGTGCACGTGCATGCAAGTGTGCAAGTGCCTGTGGAGACCAAGGGTTGACATCGGGTATTGTCCACTATCATTCTTCACTGCACCCTTTTGAGGCAGTCTTTGTCACTGAACTCACAACTTAACTATTGGTTAGCTTGGCTGGCCAGAAGGTCCAGGGATTCACCTGTCTCTGCTTCCTCAGCCCCAGTGTTACAGACATGGGAGACCACGCCAGGCTTTGACATGGTTGGGGGATCTGAACCCAGGTCCCTGTGCTGTGGAGTATGCACTTTACTGACTGACTTACCTCCCCAGCCCCTTATTATGACATCATCATACATGTATATAACAGGTTTTTTAAAAAAAATATTTTATTTTTAGTGTATGAGTCCATTGCCTGCATGTATGTGAGTGCACCCGTGTTGTGCAATGCCGAGGAGGTGAAAAGAGGGCTTCGGATTCCCCTGGAACTGGAGTTACGGACGGTTCATAGGTGCCATGTGGGTGCTGGGAATCGAACCCGGGTCCTCTGCAAGAGCAGTCAGTGCTCTTAACCGCTGAGCCATCTCTCCAGCCCCATATAACAGGTTTTGATCATATCCAACCCACATCATCCTCTCTTGTCCTTTTCCCACTCCCACTGATTTCCTACCTCTTCCTAACTAGTCTCTCTTCTACTTTTATATCTTTTGTTTTGTTTTGGTAAACCAAGGCGTTTAGTTAGGTTTACTTACAGGAGCATAGGTGAATTATTTACAGGAGCATGGACAACTTACCCATGGCTAGACCACTGAAGAAAATGTCTCTCCTTTCTTCAGCAGCCATTAATTATCTAGAGCCTCAGGGAGGGGTGGGTGGGGCCTTGTGAGCCCTTTCCTTACTAAATTCATCTAGTTTGTTGTTGTTTTAGGTTTTTTGTTTTTGTTTTAGACAAGGTCTTACTATGTAGCCCTGGCTGGCCTAGAACTTGCTATGTAGACCAGGCTGTCCTGGAACACACAGAGATCACCTATCTTTATTTCCTGAGCACTGGAGTAAAGTCATGCACCACCATGCCCAGTTAAATTCATCTGATTTGAGGTCATTTTGCATATAATTATTTGAAAACATTTCCATCTCATTAATGTCAGTATTTCCTTCATTCTCTTAGGATATTCAAGTTTATTAGAATCAAAATAATTTATCATTCATAATTAAATAAAGCCATTGCCATATTTATATTGAGATTTTACATTGCATTTATTAGATTTTTAAAACATTTAAATATTTCTGATATGTTTCTCCCTCTTTAAAAATTTTTTGATTCATTTTTATGTGTGGTGGTTTTGTATGCATGTTTGTAGGTACACCATATGTCTGCAATGCCTACAGAGGACAGAATCCCCTAAATTCTGGATTTGCAGATAGTTGTTAGCCACCCTATGGGTGTTGGGAAACAAACCTTGGTCCTCTGCAAGAGCAATCACTGCTCTTAACTGATAAGCTAACTCTTAAAAAATACTTATTTATTGCTTTTTATCTATGCGTATGTGTGTAAGCCCACTTGAATTTATGTGCACCCTGTGCATTCAGGAACCCAAGGAGGCTAGTGGAGGGCGTTGAATCCCCTGGAACTGGAGTTACAGATGGTTGGGAGCCGTTCAACATGGGTGCTGGGAACTGAACCTAGTTCCTGTGCAGGAATAACAAGGGCTCTTAATCACTGAGCTACCTGTACAGCCTTTTTCTCTTTTAGAAAAGAGACTTTCAAACACTTGTTAAAAGAACTAGTTCTAGGGGCTGGAGAGACGGCTCAGCGGTTAAGAACACTGGTTATTCTTGCAGAAGACCCGGATTCAAATCCCAGCACCCACATGGCAGCTAACAACTGTCTGTAACTCCAGTTCCAGGGGATCCAACAGCCTCTTCTGACCTCCATAGCATTGCATGACATGGGTGCACTCACCTACATGCAGGCAATACATGCATACACATAAAATAAGAATAATAAAATATTTTTTAAAAAAGGAGCTAGTTCTAGATTTCCCTGTGTTTAAAATTTGTTTTTAAATATTATTTTCTTTCCTCTGAATCTCATAAATGTATTATTATTAATTATTCTAATTTGGGGATTATTCAGTACAGTTTTTTCTTTTTATATAATGGAATTGTATAAGGGCTTGAGTTTTCTTCAAAATAAGGTTTTGGCTTTAAGGTTTATCTGGAACATTCTTATTTTTATAATTTTTTTGTAGTTAAAAATGGTAGTTTCAATATGCTCTTGGACATATTGTTCTTTGTGAGAAATTTTAAGTTTCTAAGTGATCAGATTTTGTTTGTCGGCTACTCAGTAAATCTTTTGCTGATGGTGTGTAGTGTTATTGCTTTTTGGTGAAAGAAAACCTGTATAATTTCTATTGCTGACTTTTATAGCTTTTTTAAGGGAAAGGTTAAACTAGCTCTTGACTGACTTTAGTGGTACTGAATAAATCCTTGAAAAATGTATTTGAGCTGGGAAGGTAGCTCCATTGGTAAGGTCCTTGTCTAGTGTGTATGAGTCAGGAGTTTGATCCTCAGCACCTGCCTAAAACTGTGTGTGGTAGTGCATGCCTGTAATCCTAGCACTCAAGAGACTAAGGCAGGAGATCCATGAGTTCCAGGCCATGCTGGGCTAAAAGGAGACTTTGTCTGGGGCTGGCGAGATGGCTCAGCAGTTAAGAGCACTGGCTATTCTTGCAGAAGACCTGGGTTCAAATCCCAGTACCCACATGGCAGATAACAACCATCTGTAATTCCACTTTCAGGGGATCTGATGCCCTCTTTTGCCCTCTATAGGCACTGCTCGACATGGGTTCACTTACACACATGCAGGCATATTGCTCATGCACATAAAATAAAAATAAATAAGTCAAACAAACAAAACAAAAACAGACTGTTGAAAAACAAACAAACCAAGCAAAACTGGGTCTATGAGATGGGCCAACTGGTAAAAGCACCTGCCATCAAGCCTGATGACCCGAGTTCAGTCCCTGAGACCCACATGGCAGAAAGAAAGAACAGATTCCCACAAGTCCTCTGACTTGCACACATTACTTGGACTTGTACACCCACACATTCACACAGTAAAAATGATAAATACATAATAAATAAAGAAATGTAAGTAAAAGAAGACATCAGACAGAAAGACCTGCTTATTCTGCTTAATGTTTTTGGCATGCTAGTTTAGTTTGCCAAAAATTATTACAATTAGAATTATTCCTTCTCACTTGATTTCTTATGCTTAGTAAAAGATAAATATGTAACCCTTATATAGCTATGTAGTCAATCCCAGGCTGGCCTTGATCTCACCTTGTCTCTGCCTCCCCAGTGCTGGGATTAAAGGCGTGTACCACCATGCCTGGTTTTTAGGTGTATCTGAAAAAAACCTCTTGCCTTACAGCCGACTGCCTTCTTGTTGTGTTCTTGCAGGACCGTTCCTCTGTGTATGCCCATTCCTGTCGTCCTCTTCATATAAGGACACTAGTTTGGTAGGTTGAGGCCCTACCAGAAACCAACCTTGCTAAGACCCTGATTTTGGTTTCCAGCCTCTAGAATGGTGAACAAATTGATTTCTTGCTGCTTAAACTACCACTATGGGCTGGGCATGATGGTGGTGGCAGCCTAAACCTATAATCCCAGCACTTGGGAGGTAGAGGCAGGACTGAGCTCACAGTGTGTGTGAGTATGTGAGTGCAGGTGCCCATGGAGGCTGTCGGATCATTCTGGAGCTGGAGTTACAGGTGATTGTGAGTTACCTGACACGGGTGCTGGTAACTTAACGTATGTCCTGTTTGGCCATGGTTCTGATCACCTCCACTCCCAGCCGTTTTCTTTTAAACACAGATGTGTGGGTGGATTTTTCTCAACTCAGCTTCATCAAAATGATAAGCAGTAGAAATTCCCTCCATCCTTCCTAATTCCAGCAAGGTAGAAAACTATTGGTTGTTTATTTTTTTGAGATAGGGTCTCTCTATGCAGCTCTGGTTGGGCTGGAACTATTACTGGTTTTTGTTATAGTGTGTTTGCACCTTTTTCTTAGGCTTCCATAAGATCGAGGAGGAATTTGCAGAGAAAGTTCTACTTTTGACCTTTATAGAAGATGTCACATGGTCTCAGCAGGAGCAGCCGAAAACCCTAAAACAGAACTTGATGCTCTGAAGGGCTCAAAAGAGCAGGCTTTGAGGAAGACTGAAGAAGCTCAGAAACACAGCTTTCGTCGTTTTTGAGATTATTCCATTTGTGACAACATTAACAGTATTACTCATGAAGTTTCCCAGGGGAGGCCCTGAACAGGACAATGGCTCCTCCTCACCAAAGTTCCAAGCTCAGTTTCTAAAGGGGAAACAATGATAAAGGAAGCAGGCTTGGCCTACAGTGCTGAACTGAACCAATGTAACTACGGCATGGCAAGAAAAAGGCAGTTCTGTCTTTGAGACAGGGTCTTCCTAGGCAACCCCGGCCAGTCTTGAACTAAACTCTGTAGCTCAGGTTAGTCAACTCATGATTCTCCTGCCTTAGCCTCCTCGGTGCTGAGATTATACACCCATGGCACTCCCTGCTGCTAGTCATTTATTCATTCACTGAACAAGTTCTTGGGCTGTCATTACAGCTCAGGCACTAAGTTCAGTGCTGGTAGTAGTGCCATGAATAGAGTAGATAACCTGAGCTCCAGGGAGGTCCTTAAGGCAGTAGGTGTGCTGGATGGACATTTAGGGTGTGTAGTTTTGCCTTCTAGGTAAGGCAGCACTAACATCCAGACTTGGTCACCAGTGGAAGACTTCCTTTTGACACTGCCACCGGATACGTTCAAGCAGAGGCTGTCAAGGAAGTCTCAGACAAAGTGGAAGAGGTCCTATGCTAGATGATCTGCTGGGGTCCCTGTAACTTTGAGTTGTAGTGGTTTTATATCAAGTCAGTGTCTTAAAGAGGTTAAACAAAATGAAGCTCTCATTCCCATCTTCAAGACTGGCAAAACTTACCGTGCAACATGGCTGCATCCAGGGCTCTCCATCTACTTGCATCGGCAGCAGCTTGTTAGTCCTGGAATCCCCAAACCAGGAAAACACAGTGAGATTCTCAAGGGTTGAAGTGTTAGCATCATTCCCACTACAGAAAAAGATGCGGGAAGACCTCTAGCCTGCCCACTTAGGAGCGGCTTGCTCAGACTCTGGAGGAACTTGGTAAAAATAGAATCCTGAGATCACCTTGAACTGGACTTGGTAGTTCTGAAGACAGGTCTGGGAATTTATGCTTTAATCACTATGGGCATTTATCAGGCTTCAGTCTTTAAGTCCCCACCTTGAATATTTTATTATCTTTATTTTTATCTTAAGTGTATGAGTGTATTGCCTGCATGTATATAAGTGCACCCATGTTGTACAGTGCCCATGGGGTCAGAAGGTCCCCTGGAACTGGAGTTAGAGATGGTTGTTAGCTACCATGTGGGTGCTGGGAACTGAACCTGGGTCCTCTGCAAGAACAGCCAGTGCTCTTAACTGCTGAGGCATCTCTCCAGCCCCCTAGACCCCTGGGAAGCACCAAAAACCACAGCCACCTGGGAGACATTTGCCAGCAAACATGGCAACCCCACTGCTGAGTAGACCCACCTCAGTCCAGTGTCCAACCAGAGGGAATGGCAGCTAGAGCTCTGGAGTGGGAAATGGCCTTGTCTCTACTGAATGAGTTGTTGAATCATACCCTCAAGGCACTGTCTCCAGGTTTTAGAGGGTACCATTCATGTCTGCACTTGATCCTGAGCAACAGTCTATTCTGGGGTCATATGCACTTTGGACTTGGCTTTGCTAGGAAAGGTACATGTAGGAGTAGTGTTCCCGAGGATAAGAGGCGAAGTGAGGAGGAACTAGGATAGGCTTTTGAAAGGCCTCTGAATTTGTCCTCCACTGTCCTTTAGAGGTGTCTGATCAGAGGCATGGGGAATGGTCAGCATCCACTGGGCAGGAAGCCCTTACTTGAGCTTGGCATCTACAACTACAAAATGATGGGGGAAAGCAGTATTTTGATGCAATGATTCTCTGATGAACTGTGAGTATATTTAATAATAAGAGGAATAAATCTAATAAAAAAATCAGAAGTGAGGCCTTTTGGTCCATAGGGATGAAGTCTCTGGGAAGAGTGCCGGGGGATGGGGCTCTGATCCTTGTTTCCATGTAGAAATAGATTGTTGACTCCTGGAAAAAGCCCTCCTCATACATGTTTTTAATTTTTTGGTAGTCAGGATGCTCTGTTCTCCATGGGACTACATAAACTATGGCTGTAATGTGCTGTGGATAGAACAGCCCCTTTGGTATAGCATTCTGGACAGTCTACAGGGATGGAGGGATCAGTCTGGAAAACAAGGGCCCAATCACAACAGCTCTGGGACTGGAAAAGAAAAAGAAGACAAAGATAGGACATGAAGACAAAGGGCACAGAGGGGATCTGACAGAGGGAGGGTGAGGCCAAGAACAGTTTTCTCAACTCTGCTCTTGCTGGCTTGCCCTAGGGCTTCTGGGAGAAACAGGTTCTTTACTCAAATGCCTCTGAGAAACCCTGCACCCTGTGGCCCCTCTATGAGATCCCTAAGGTAAACTCGCAGATATGATCTGTAATGCGAGAGAGAAAAGGAATGCAGTCTTCTGGAAATAATCAGGCAAGGAAAAAAACGGAGGAAAATGTGACTAGTTGCATTGATTAGAGGCAGCTGAAATCAGAGATCTACTTCTCAGACCCTGCGTCTTCCTACCTGGCTAACTGTGTCATGCGTGCCCTGAAAAATTGTTACCCTCTTGGTCAATACAAGAAGTTTGTTGATGTTGGTTTATCAGATGAAGGCATGAAGGAAATAGCACCTCATGCAGATAGGAACAGTGTGACCCCTGGCACACAGCTAGTATTTTAAAACCATAAAGAGAAAAAAGCAAAGAATTGGACCTCTGGTAATTTGTACTCCAGGTTAATGAATTTCACCAGGTAATTTTAAGAGAACAAGTTGTTGGTGGACCCTCTAGTTGATGGTAGCATTATATCCTGTTGGAAAATGGTCTCAAGGTATTCTTCACAAACACTTCTGAGTTTCTCTCTCCAACTTGTCCTGTAGTGAAATCCAAAGGTAGCTCCCTAGTTATTGTCTGCAAGTATGTTTAAGGAGGTGAGGGGACCAGGAAACTGCTGGGTAAGAAGGAGACGTACCTGATGGTAACACAGGAGCACTGGGCCAGCCTCCTGCCCGCACTCTTCAGGCCGGTGTAGATCTGCCCCATCTCCATAGCTCCCTCTAGCCCCACCACTTCAAGGAGCTGGTCACTGAGGTCTGCAGGGTAAACACAGAAGCCATGCATACTCATTTCTCTAACTCAGCTGGTCTGGCCAGAAGGTCTGGTCCCTTGGTGGTCAAGCCAAGTTTGTCTCCACTCTATCACCTCCCACAGAAGAGCTTTTCTGTATTCTGAATCAGGCATTTGCACAAAAAGAAATGGATGTATGTTTTGGTAAGCATAAGCCCAGTTACAGTTTTTTTTTTAAAAAAAAATATTTATTTTTACTTTATGTGTATGAGTATACTGCCTGCATGTATGTGAGTGCACCCATGTCATGCAATGCCAAGGTCAGAAGACGGCATCGGATTCGCCTAGAACTGGAGTTAAGGACAGTTTGTAGCCGCCATGTGGGTACTGGGAATTGAACCCCGGGTCCTCTGCAAGAGCAGTCAGTGCTCTTGACCACTGAGCCATCTCTCCAGCCCCACAGTTTTTTTTAAAAATAAAACTTTAAGAACAATAAATTGTATCCAATGAATACACTGACATCAGGAAGACTTCTCCATTGCACAATGGGGTGAATATTGAACCAGCTGCTTCTAAAATACCCCAGCCCAGCAGCTGGCTTGGGACTAGGATAAGAAAGAATGCGGACGAGGCCACAATCTACCCCTTAACGACTGAAAAACGTTGGTTCTGTTCACTATGACTGGTGGTTAATTGACCTCAAATTTGGCCTGTGGTTGTGAACCACCCTCCTTGGACATCTTTAGGAAAATCAGGGACCTCTTTCAGAATGCCAAGGAAAAGAGCATTTCACCCCATCAGATTATTGTGGGCCCACAGTAGAAAAATATGAATCCCATGCTCAAAGTTGTAGGACCAGTGGCCTGCCTAGTGGCACTGGCTTCTGATTCAGAACCCACGAGCGGTCCATTTTTGTCACAGCTGCTGAAGCCTGGGCTTTGCCTTATGAATGTATGGAAGGGATAATGTTGGGCCCAAGACTCACTTTACAAATGTAACTCTTTGTGCATTTAAAGCTGAAGCAAAAGTTAAAATGCAGGATTTAAAAGAGCCTATTCCTTTGTTACCAGAACAAGAATACCTTTTCTCAGATTATGGTTAGTCACTACTATCTATTAATATCCACAAGCTGGAAAACCGTGTCTAAGCTAATGTTTTTGCCTATTTACCAAATGGCTACTGCCCTCTAAAGTGCCTCCTGGTACAGTGTAACAGTGTAAGATTAGTGAAGAAATACTTGAGTTTTATCTTTATTCTCTTGTTTAGAAGATGGTTGTTTTAAAAACATTCTCTTGATGGATGTAGAACTAAAGAAAACAGTTATATAAAACATTGGACACATCACAAATGTGTCAACGTTGACATCTAAACTGCCTATAACACTGATAGGTGTTAGCTGTCAACAGATAACACAAGTCTAATTGGTCTTTCTGTGACAAGTACCTATCTTCCCACTCTGCATCTGTCGACACTCCATTTCCTTTTCAAGTGCTCCTTTCTTCACATCCCTGAAAAGATACTGTCTCCTTAAGCTTCCATCTCATTTGGACTTCTGACAAACTGCCAAAGGGTAATGTTTGCTTAGGAGACTGCTCCAGACTCTGAAGGAGTTTTGAGCTAATAACCAAGAATATCTGAATTTCTTAATGAGTTCTCTTCTCACCAAAGAGCGTCATATAACCATTGGATAGTCTTAGCTTATCATGCTAATCTTACAGTGTCTGTGGAAACAGCATACACTATAGACTGTGAGAGAGAGACCTCAGAAAGGGGAGGGGGAAAAGAAGGGGATGGAGAAAAAGAGGGAGGAAGGAGAGAAATTAGAGTGCCTCCAGAGTGAGGCAGGCAGGAGGCTAGTTTTGTGTTGAGAAGAGAGAAGAAAGTAAAGGCAGAAGTTTTTAGAAGTTTCTCAGTTTAGTGACAGAGACAGATGCCTTATAAAATGTTCTGTGTACCAGCCTTTGATATCTGACAGGGCTGCAACGGTTCAACGTTTTCCCTCGAAACATCCTCTGGTAACAAAATGTTCTAAGAAGTAGGGGACTTAATAGACTCAAGTGTTTCAGCTTTACAATGTCTTGGTCTTTTAACAAATTTTCCTGTTGAATGGCTCTAAAGTCGTTATCACTTCCCACACATTACCTTACAGCTATCACTTCCCACACATTACCTTGTTTCCTGGCTCCAGAAGAGAAATAATGAAGGCTGATCTCATCAGCAGGAGTGGGTGGGTGGGGGAGGGGCTTGCACAGATGTGGGACTGCAGAGACCAGATGCTTGGAGTGAAGGGGCTCAAGTCTTACTGACTTTTGCCAGTCCTCTTTTGAATTTGTATTCTGTCTTCCCATGCATAACAAGGGTGACTCCTGACTGCCACTCTTAGCCTCACCCAAGCCCTAACCTCAACCCCAAGCCCAACCCCAACTCCAATCCTAACCACAGGACTTAACTGCTTTTTTTTTCTCCTCTCTACCATTGCTTAGCTATTCTTTTGACTTTATAGAATTCCTACTGAGAAAGTCTTAAAATCTATTTTACATTTTTTTCTTAAGCTACCAAAACATCAAGGCCCCTCTCTTGTGTGATAACTATAAATAGCCCATGGTTTTAGTTTTCTTTGTGTCACACTTTTTTTTTTTTTTTTTTTTTTTTTTTTTTTTTTTTTTTTTTTTTCCCCCTTTTTTTTTTTTTTTTGTCTTTTTGAGACAGGATCTCCCTGTAACCTTGAACTCACTATGTAGACCAGGCTGGCTTTGAACTCACAGAGATCCGCCTGCCTCTGCCTCCCAAGTGCTGGGATTAAAGGCATGCGCCACCACACCCGGCATGTGTCACACTTTTTAAAAAATGTTATCATCTAACCTCCTTTACTTCTTCTATCACAGAGATATGCATATGTATACATTAAACCTGGTACTAAAACCAAGGCGACCAGAATGCAAGTTGGTATCTAGGCACAAACAACAATGAATGTTTAGAATACAGAATTAAGGGTTGGGACAGTTGGTCAACCAGGTGTCTATTTTACCTTGGGCACCAGTGATTGAGAGTGTGTTTTTTTTTTGGGCAATCATGCCATCTCCATATTGTCTTTATACTCATTAATGTTTAAGATAGGATCTATGCATCTTAGTGAGACAGGAATTCATTCATTCATTCACTGAATAGCTACCAAGTTCTAGGCCCTGTGTCAGGAACTGGCAATACAAAATGTTCTATTGCTGAACAATTCTATTGTCCAAGAAGGAGAAACAGAATTAGGTATAAATACAACAACAAGAAAACCCACTGTAATTGAACTATGAGACCAGGGATGTCTGTCTAAGTGGTTGAGGCTGAGGAGGCAAGGTGCAGAGGTAAGTATGTCAGACAGTTAAGGAAGTTGTTGAAGGCTAAATGCTGAGATGGTTTGCTGGATTGGGAGGAAGAAAGAGGGAGGGAATTCCAGGAACAGGGATGGTCATATATGGGGCTGGACAGGCACAGGATAAGGAAGAATTAATTTGTAATAAACTCACTAGGAAATTTCGTGAAACTCCAACTATTTTTCTCTAAGAATTATTATCTGGAGACTTGGCCAGAGCTAGAGGAAGAAGTCTTTGGACCAGGCACAGCTTGTGTAGCCAGCAAGCCAGACCTTTCAATGTTGCTTTTTTTTTTTTTTTTTGGTTTTTTTTGAGACAGGGCCTCCCTATAGCCCCAGCTGTCCTGGAACTCGCTATGTAGACCAGGCTGGCCTTGAACTCACAGAGATCCTCCTGCCTCTGCCTCCCAAGTGCTGGGATTGAAGGTGTTGTACCATTGCACCTGGCTTCAACATTGCTCTTACTATTCCTTGGTGACAAAGCTTTGCTTACAGTGAACACTTCATGATTGCACTCTAGGAAAGAACATACAGTATAGAAAAATGGGAAGGGGAGAGGGGTAGGAACAAGGGAGGAAAAATAAGGACAATTTTATCACTTCCAATGGGACCTACTTTGTTCAGCCTCCAGTATACAATTTTATAAATGCAAATCTGATCTTGTCACTCTATACCCAAATCCTCAAGGACACTGGGCAAAACATCAGTGGATACAATGTATAATCTTCACATTGATGATGTAAACTAGGAGAAAAAGTTTTGAAAAAGATTTGCAGTAGGAATGAGTCTGAAATTGTCATATTGTTTCATGTACTCCTTTCTTGGCAGTGTTTGAGATATCGACAGAGCCCAAGTTCACACAGATATATGTAGCATCTTTATAACAGTCACATACCCCCTCATATACCACATTTCTACATGTATGGGAACAGTTAAATGATACAGTGTCCATATGATGGGATTTTTTTTTCTGCTATTAAAATATTCACAAACCAGGTATGGTAGCTCATACTTATAATCTCAGAACTCAGGAGACAGAGGCAGGAGGATTATTTCAAGTCCAAGGCCAACCTAGGCTACTGTGAGAGATCTTGTTTCAAAATCTCAATGGATATACATTTAATAACAATAAATGTGTTTATATCATGATTAAGGTTGAAGGCAATAGTGAGCTCCTTATACACCGTCCTTCCAACCAGGTAAGAAGATACATGGAAGAAAAGGACAAATCTCAGCAAAATCTTAACAGTGGTGGGTCCTGAATAAGCAAAGGTAATTACCATATCTTCTTCATGCTTTTCTAGGTGTTTCCTACTTTCTTTAAATAGGCATTCATGCTATAAATGAAAAGTAATTTAAAAAACCCATTAGCTGCTCTTCATAGCAATAAAGGCCAAATGTCATCAACTCTATAAGTTTTATGAGCGGTTGTCCCTTCAGGAAGATTTAGATGTTCCTCAAGTTCTTCCACACAGATGTGGTCAGAGAGAGAAGGCAGCAGTTTGCTTGTCTGTAGGCAGAAGACCATGGTAATCACTGTACCACAAGGTTGACTGGGGAAAGAGATGGAGGACTGGATTAAAAAGGAGAAGGCAAATAAGGGATGGAGCAGTTCTAGAACAAGTTTTGAGACAGTGGGTATGGAATTCAGGAAGAGGTGAC